TCTCTCTCTCTCTCTCTCTCTCTCTCTCCTTCTCTCCCCTCTCCTTCCTTTCTTCCTGGCTTAAAACCTTCACAGATGATCATCATTATGAATCATAAGCTCAAAATTTAACTCCAGGATCTGGACTTTATCTTCTTCCAAAGCCTTATTTTTCACACCTCCTCCAACTTTCTACCCTGCTTTCTAATCCTATGACACAGCAGGCAATTGAATGATTCCAGACCTTTGCTTCCTCTTTCTTGGCCCCATAGCAGTTTCAGTTATTAATTCATGCATACATTCATGAACCCATGCACATTCTGAGCACCTAGCATGTGTCAGGCACAGATTCAGGGAATAATGTAGCAGGGAATACAATGGATGCAGCTGTGCCTCACAGAGTCCATCTCATTTGTTCTAAGCCCCAGGAGCACCCCTGCGTCCCCTTCTTTCTCACTGCACAGGTAAATACTGACTTAATATTACACTCTCTTGTAGACTGTAAATGCCATGAAGGCAGGAACTTTCTCTGTCTTTGTGGGTGATAAATAAGCCTGTTTCAGATTAAGTTGAAAAGCTCTTCCTCTAACATAGTTCTTCTAGATCATTTCCAGAGCCTTCTCTCCCTGCTGTCTGGTCTGACCTGCTCCCCCTCAACACAGTCTGAGAGCTCTGCCTCAAAGAGCCTGGGCCCTAACTCACACAGACTCAACACTTAAAATCTTTATTCTATTTTGTTTACAGGTTTTTCTCCTCCTACCAAACTGAGCTTCTCAAAGTTTGGATCGATTTCTTTTTGCCTTATTAATCTTTGCACTTTCATATAGACTTACGAATGTTTGCCAAACTCATGTATTCATTCATGTTGTTTCTTCTGGGGGGTTTATTTTGTTTGCTTTTTTCCTTTCCTTTTTATTGGTGCATTATAATTGCACATAATAGTGAGATTCATGGTTACATATTCATATATGCACATAATATAAAAATAGAGTTTGGCCAATTTCATTCTCCAGTAAATTTGTTTGTTTGTTTGAGACAGGGTCTCACTATGTTGCACCAAATAGCCTTGAACTCCTGGGCTCAAGTCATCCTCCTGCTTTTGCCTCCTAAGTAGCTGGAACTGGATATGTGTGCCATTTTGTCTTGACTTAAACTTCTTTGCATTGTTTTGTACAAAATTCCTTGTAGTTTTCATAAAATCTTCTTAAGATGTTTTCATCTCTCTATAGTTAGAAGATACCCTAACTCAAATTTCATAGGTTGGAATATACACAACACAGAATTTAAAGTAAAATGTTTGTCAAGGATATAATTGAAATCCTCAGAGAGAGGGCAAAGTGCAACTTTTTGGAATAGCTTTTGCATTCTTGACACAAAGTTGAAGTGAGGACTTAGCTCCACCTTAAGCCTTCTATCCTAGATAAGTGWGGCACCCAGACTTTTTACTTTTTAGGCCTCTAACTTATTAAACTAATAAGATACTACACATGATCTTAGCCAAAAGGCCGAGATGCAATAGGCCTCTAACTTTGACATGGAACAAAAGACATGGTTTTTTAATATAAACTAAGTCTTGACAACGAGTAAGAGGCTACTGAAACGAATTAAATAACACCTTTGAAATTCATTACAAAATGAAATCAGACAACTTCTTGATAGGACCAGGTGTCTGAAAAAGAGATGGTTATGCTCTACAAAATACAAAGAATATAACTGTTCTTAATAAATTATGTTCAAAGCATTATGTTATGTGCAAGTAGGCCCTCAATGAATATTTACTGGATGAAAGACACAAAACAATTAAATCGAAAAGTACTGGCTTCTGTTACTATTGAGAATCACCAGAGTCACACATTGCAGGTCCTCCAGGAGCCATGGTTCCACTCCCTGATGCTGGAGCCAGTGCTAAGTGTCTCCACAGGTAAACATAGCCTACTATTAGAAGTCATTCAGCTCTACATGTGTTCAGGGAGATCGTCCTGCCACACATATACATGACTGCTAATCATACAATTCATAACTGAATATAAGCTGATATGTCACCTTAATACACATCTTTTCATCAAGCTGGAGAAGTTATAAATTCATTTCTACATGATATTATGATTATAACATTTTTGCAGAAATTTAAGATCACTATTTTATGTAACAACTGAGTCTTCCTTGAAGTAGTATTAGATATTTTTCAATTACACTATAGTACATGTAATTTAGCATGCATGTAGGCATATATGAATTTTACTACCAAATTCATTTTCTCTGCAGTATATTGGATATCTGTATATGTAATGGATATCCTGGAAAGCCACATTATTCCCACAAATACTTACTGGAAACAATGCTCATTCTATGTAACAGAAGGAAGGGTTAATGAAATTTATGTATCATTAGAGCAGATAATTTTACAAAGCTATATTCTTAAGGCTTCAGAATGAATGATTTGACTGTGGGAGCAGAGTCTTAGGGGCAGGATACCCCAGATAACCTCACCCACATGCATTTCTCAAACAATGCTTTTCTTTATGTAAACAGAAAATAGAAAGGAGTATATGGTTTTTGTCCTTATTATTAAGTATCTGGCTTTTCTTCAGTGCACTCTGCACAATGCACAGTCTTCAGCACCCCAAGGAGCATTAACAAAGGATATCAGGCAAGTTCACCTACTCCCACTTCACAGAACAATGCTTGTTGTTAACTAAGCAATTCCCAGGGCAGATTTATGATTCGTGGAGCCCAGAATAAGTACTCAGGTTGGGTACTTGGAATCTGGGGTCAGAAACATGTGGTGCTGCTCAGTCCCCAGGGCTTTTAAAAAACATAAAAATGTGACCTAAAGTTTATGCCTGCATGTACACCAGAGACTATTTAGGCATTTAGAGAAATTAAAGCACATAAAGATCTCAAAACAGTTTATTGTTCATGCTCCAAGATTTAACTTTTTCTTTCTTACTGCTGCTATGGTTTTTCTCTGGTGAATAAGTGTCTACTGAATAAATAAGAAGAATCAATTATATATATTACATGTCTTATAAAAAATAGACTGATAAAACAACAAATTACATAGGTAATTAAATATGAAAATTTAAAAAATTTGTCTGAATTTCATAAACAAATTTATGATTATGATTTAATGGGATCAAATTCTGTTTTTATAAGACAAAATTTGTAATCTGTATACTTAATTTAACCCAAATTTCGTATGAGTACTGTAGTTCCAGTCAGAAGTGAAGTGCATAAAAAGGCTTCTTTTCTCCCAGCCTCTTTAGGAAACATTCTGGTTAGAGTTACATTCTGTTATAGTTTGGATGTGATATGTCCCCCAAAACCTCATGTGTGAGACAATGCATGAACATTCAGAGGTGAAATGATTGGATTATCACAACCTTAACCCAATCAGTGAATTAATCTTCTGATGGGGATTAATTGAAGGTGGGTAGGGTGAGGCTGGAGGAAGTGGACATTGGGGCATGCCTTTGGTATATATTTTGTATCCGGCAAGTGGAGAGTCAGTCTCTCTCTCTCTCTCTCTCTCTCTCTCTCTCTCTCTCATCATAATGTGAGCTGCTTCCCTTCACCATACTCACTCATCTGCCATGATGTTCTGCCTCACTGAAACTGAAACTGTGAGCCCCCAAATAAACTTTTCCTCCTTAAAATTGTTCTTATCCGGTCTTGTGATCACAGCATTAAAAAAAAACTGACTAAAACATATCCCACAGTTTTATGTCATGATACAAATATTTAAAGTAGCTATTTTTTTTGTACCAGGGTACCAAAAAACCACTGAGTCAAATCTCTAGCCAGTGGTTTGTTTTTGTTTCTGTTTTGAGACATGGTCTCCCTAAGTTGCTTGGGGCTTCACTAAGTTACTAAGTTGCTGAGGCTGGGTTTGAACTTAAGATCCTCCTGCCTCAGCCTCCCAAGCTGCTGGGACTAAAGTGGCTTAAGAGAATCTTTTCTACCCCTTGTTGTCTGGCTCAGGTATAAAAGAGAAATTGGCTACTATTTCCATTTTTATGAATATGATTTTATAAAGCCATTAAAACTTTAAAGTAATTAAATTTCATCACTACTCTTTCACTCTTTAATAATCACCTATTAAATATTAAAGTTGAGCCAGAAAAGATAATATAAGAATATACATATACACAGTATATAACAATGTTTTTATAACTTTAAAGAAACTTAGAAATGTTTGAATACATGACTTAATTGTTGAATTGCATGGGTAGTTAGTACTATATAACACAGCCATATGTCTCAGGCTGAATAAAATTCTTGATGGGTCAATGAAGGTGTTGTGTCCCTTCACATACCATAGACAATTCAAGTGCTAGTCTACAATTCCAGTTAATTTTCTGTGAGGCTAAATGGCTATTCCATAGTCATTAAATAATTATTAACTATGTTATTGAGGAAAATTATGTCCTACCAAGTTCCCAATAAAATTCTGGTGTTTAAAGTTTCCATAAATAGACTTTAACATAAACCATGAAGCTTCAAAAGGGGGAAAATACAACAAGAAAAAAAAAAACTATAAAGAAGAGAGATCAATATTATTCACACAATGTTTTTTCAAAATACTCATAAAATTGCTTTTTACAAAATAATGACAAAGTTAAGAAGTTCCGGGTTAAATGACAGAGTCTGATAAAATCCACAGCCTTCAATTCTGACATGAAGGGAAAAGAACATAAATGCCTGGTCTACTGAGCTTTCCCTTGTCTGTTAGCTAGGGAAGAAATGCCTGCCTAACACCTACTAGTGCAAGGTCAACGAAAAAGTAGATTAGTGAGAATAAAACAACAAAAAGAACAGTCCCCTACCCATTGCTTCCTACTGAATGAACTTTTGACATATCAGCAAACTCTTCTTTTCTCTTGCTGCTGCTGGTATACTGTTCGCTGTACAGCTTGAGGGACATCTGCTCAACAGCATCTCTTTGTGCTTCCAGGTAGCATAGCTGAACCTCAGCCTGGAGAGAGAAACAAAGAGGAATGGATGCTTTAATCCAGAAGGAATGCATTTCAAGTGAGGTGTAACAACTCAAAAAATGGGAATTGTTCACATCATTATATGCTCCTTTTGGGGTTGGATTTAATGGGATCAACTGGGCATATTACAGGATTATATATTAGAGCTGAATCTTGTAAGTTCTTCCTTAAAATATGACCCAAATAAATGAACTCTTGGAAGACTCAGTAAATATCACAAAATATGCCTGAGATCATAATACTGTATGATAAAACTTTACATAAAATATCTGTAAAATTTTTTAATAATGATCTTGTTCACATTTTCATATATAATATTTATTTTTTTTTAAATTTCGCCCTCCAACCCAGACACTTGGAGGTTACACACACACACACACACACACATACACACACACACACACACACAATATATATATATATATATATATATATATATATATTTTTTTTTTTTATTTTCTTCCATAGAAATAAAAAGAGAAAGAGAATAATTTTTAAAAGTCCAGTATTAATTATAGTACCTCTCCAATGGTGAAAATAGGCTTCCTTTATTACTTTTTTTCCCTTTTGATTCTCTGTATTGTCTTAATAATTTTAACTCAAAGGAATAGTAATTTTGGTTACATGCAGGTTTGGATTATTAAATCTTTCATAGTTACTTGGGCTTCCTGTAAAGAAGAGGTAGTAAGTTCACTAYGCTGTTTTCTATCAAACCAATGCATTCAAAAGAATGCTGAATAATATTTGGCATGGAAATGTATTAAATAGATGCTTTATTTATTGCAGCTGTTATAATCCCTGTGGCTTTAGGGTTCCCTAGAATGCCAGATGAGATGGAGAATGAAGCCTCCTCAGGGGCAAACTTGTCCATGGTAAAGAGGAAGGGACACCATGGACCAAAGCACTCTTATTTTTTTTTTTAGTGTGATTTACTAAATCCAAGCACATCCACTAACATTTCTAATAAACCTTAAGACTTCTATTTTTATTAATAGTCTCCTAAGAAAAACAGTTGTGGGTCAGCTGAATAGTCACCAGAATTCTACAAAATGTAAGAAAAGTCAAGGAAGACATGACCTCTTCTTAGTCTCCAGAGCCAACCAAAACCTTTTATCTGGTCTATAGTTTTACAGAATAGACTAAGGAGAAAAAATGTTATACAATGGTGGCTGCTTAAAAGGCTGAATAAGAATTCTGTGAAGAAAAATGGTTATCTTGTAAGAAGTAAGGTCTCAAACTGTTCTAGAATTTCTGTTTTTTTCCCCAAACAGCTAATTATGAGTGCTCTCCATTGCTGAGGAAGAACTTAAAGAAACAATGTTAAATATTATAGTTACACAGTTAAAGTTTCATACAGTAGTTCAAAACTAATTTGTATATTGGTTCATGTGAACTTTTCTTGCTTAGACCAATTGGCTTGAATAAGAATAGAGACATCTGGATTAAGAATTATGTCTTAACACTATAAACAAAGTATAATGTTACATGGAGTATATCCAGTTGGGAATAGGAGGTGTGGCTGG